GTTCCTCTATAAAAACAGATGACTGTATTAAAAAAAATCAAACCCATTGAAACGAGATTAAACGATGGACGACGAGGCAGAGAAAATTGTGCTGGAGATTCCTGAAGAGGAACCAGCCGAAATAGAAAGCCCTGAAGCTTCCGAAGTCCAGTTGCCACTGGAGAATGGAAAAACAACTAACAATGGAACGAGAACGCCATCGATAAAGTCTGACAATGGGAAAAGAAGCCCATCCATAAGATCTGAGAACGGAAAGACACCGTCAGTGAAATCTGACAGTGACAAAACAGCATCAATAAAATCTGACAATGGGAAAATAAGTGGAAATGGGGTAGAAGAATTGATAGAAGAGGTCACCGATCCCTATGAAGAGAAGTCGAGGAGTCAAGAGGAGCTCCGAAAATTGGAGGAACTGAGTTTGGATGGGAAACCGACGTCGTTGGAAGAACTGGGCAGGGAGAGAGCTCAGCGAGTGAAAGCTAAGATCTATAGGCAGTGTCACAGGCGTTTCAGGGAGATAATTGGCAAGAGGGAGATGAAGAACGAGGAATTGGAGAAGCAGCAGGGCGACTTGAAGCATCGGTTGAACATGTTAGAGTGTTCGATGCCGGCCGTGATGGTCTGGAACATCTGGAGGATGTCCCAAGGCAATTGTGTGCCGAACTTAAAACGCGTGATGGAGAAACAGTTTCTGGGCCCGGCTGCCGGCGAAGTTTACTGTCCCAGCACTCCCAGCAGACACTTCGACTGCAGGGTGAGGGAGATCGAGGCTGAGAGAAAGCAGGCACAGAAACGAGTGGAGGAGGCCAGGGCTTTGTGGAGCGAGAAGACGAGTCTGTTGGAAGAAAGGAGTAAGAGATTGGAAGAAGTTAAGAGGATTCAGGAGGAGACCAAATTGAAGATCGAACAGCTGATCATTGAGGCTAAGAGGCTGAAGGAGGCAGCCAAGATAGAAGACGATGGGTCTTGCGAAACTGGTTAGAGCATTTATGGTTAGATCATTAAATTTCGTACTTGGATTCAATACGAAACACGTCTGTTCAGAAATCGAACAGTTAAGAAAATCAATTTTTTTCGTACAAGTATTAACACGATTTTTGTTATAAAAACTTGTTTTCTTAAAGACAATTTATTTTTAACATGAAATTAATTAATACTTTTCTTAATGCAATTAAATACTGGAATCAGCTGTAGATAAAACCTGGTATCGTTTTATCGAGATTAGCGTTTCTATTTAAGAGTGCGAGCCACGTTCCAGTTTCGACTGGCATTAATTAAAAAAGGTAAAAGGGAGGTCGCCGATTGAAAACCGACGCAGTAGCCTCGCCACGCCGCCACCCGCCGCACGCAATCGATACGGCCAAGTTGAAATGGGACATGATTTGTACTCGCCTCGTCTTTGAATAGAAACTATAACTCTGCCGCAATGGAACTTGAAAACGTCCGTCTGAATCTACCATCGAATCCCACTGTTCTATTAGTGACCGAGTCTAATAAAATTGCTTCATTTAAATGGCACACATTAATTCACACAAATGATAATTCATAATTTCACACGAGAATAAAATAAGTAGAAAATAAAAACCATTAAAAATGAGTTTTGCCTGAAAACTGGGTGCAGGCGAGTGCGGGGTGATACAGTGCAAGAAAAAATGGCTGGAGAAGGTGCCCAGCAATGCTTCTATAAAATCGGCGGACATCGTGTGCCTGGACAAGCTCCAAGAGCTCGCGCAGAACGAGTACTGTATCAAAAGGCATATCGCCGATCTCGAGAGCCGCGAGGAGGCTTACATGAGGACGTTACAGCAAGCGGATGAACTCTGGTGCAAATTGGAATCAGACGCGGCCAGCACTGTGAGCGCGTTGCAGGAACAGCTGGACATGAAAACGGCTGCGAATCAACAGATGGCTGACAGGATTGTAGCCCTGGAGGATGTGATAGAACAGTTGAGAGCTAGGCTAGGCCTTTGCACTGGAGAGTTAGAGAAATATATGAGCAAGAGCAAGATTGATGCTCTCATAGGTAATACTCATGTTTCCCATCACAAATCTAATCAGATTCAAATCCTCAAATAATGTCTTACTCTCATATCGTAATTTTTATCCATTTATTAATTCAAATGAAATCAGAAACATCAGAGAATGATGACAAATACTTAATGCACCTGATACATCCTACGAATACTCGAATTTAAATAAAAATAAATATATTCTAATCTCTAATCCCAAATCCTGTTAGGGAGAGACGACGATTTCGCTGAGATGTTGGATAAAGCGCTGCGAGCAGCTCCGGATGCGCGAGACAAGATGGTAGGCATAGAGAGAGAGATGATGGACAGAGATATGCTGGCCAAGATGGACATGAGCGACGCGAAACTGGGCATCCATCCTGAAGACTTCGCCTATGAGGATGAGAGGCTTCAGGAAGCCAGAGCTTATCTAGAGAAGCTCGGATTCTCACTTTCAGAACTGGACAAATATCCTGATGACTTAGTCTGCGCGGCAGACTTCGCTTGCAACGATTTGGTATTCACTGAGACCGGATTGACCGAAGAGGAGATGCAGGCTTTGAAGGAGGGACGTGTCACTGCGAAGATGTTGTTAGAACAGTGTGGAGTGTCGGTCGATTTGGAGCTGGAGCAAGAAGCTGCTGGGGTGGAGAGGATTGAGAGGACAGTGAGGTCAGAAATGTACGAGATGGAAGAAACGAGGGAAGCGGTTGGAATGATGAAGGAACGTGAGATGATGATTGAAAAGAGTGTAGAGGAAATCGGGGTGGGAGATCAGGAAGATGATGTACCTGCGGACGATACTACGACTTATGAGGATACTACTGATATGGAAGATTTCGTGGATGCACCAGCGTACACCGAGACGAGAGTTCATAAACGTGATGTAGACGAAGGAGAAGATCTCTCGGCAATGGAAGTGACGACTGAACCGAGTCTTGAATTTCCTTCAGAGGAAGTTGTTCATGACGAGTCAGTGGTCGTTCCGAGGACTGAAATGTTGGACTGGCAGGATGACGTTGATACTATTCGATCTACCATTGCGGTACGATTCGTGATAGAATATCTTATAAAAATAATTGTTAGGGACAGGGTTCTGATTTGTTCGATGTATTTGGTAATACAGGAGTGCCCTGATTGCATTGTCGTGAAGAAGGATGCCGACGAACTGGCTGTCAAGATGGCTCGTTACACCGGCGTTAGTATCGAAGATCAAACTATTGTATAATTAAACAGACACATGCATTACACAAAAGTGATAGAATTACTATATTTTGCGTAATCAGAAATCGAGATAGAGAGAGTTCCATTTCGCAAAAATGCAAATCACTATTCCAGACGGAAGTGACAGAAATAGCCGACAGTCCTCGCGAAATCCTTGCACCGTCTGAAATTCCCAAACCCGAGGTGCCAGTCGCGGTTGAGGCTAAACCCGAAGTTGTAGAAGCCGAAGTAACAGTCGCACCGTCGGTTGAGGAAAAAATAGTTGAGGCTAAAGTTGCAGAACCTGATGTGAAAGTGGAACCAGAAGAGCCCCCTGAGGTACTGGAACCACCTGCAGTGGCTCCAGTTGAGGCACCGCCACCCACGGCACCTCCAGTTGTAACACCGCCACCTGCAGTGGCTCCAGCTGAGGCACCACCTCCTCCTAAGGCACCTCCAGCTGCAGCACCACCGCCCACAGTACCTTCAGCTGAGGCACCATCTCCTACGGCACCTCCAGCTGTAGCACCACCACCTGCAATGGCTCCAGCTGTAGCACCACCACCTGCAATGGCTCCAGCTGTAGCACCACCACCTGCAGTGGCTCCAGCTGAGGCACCAGTTCCTCCTAAGGCACCTCCAGCTGTAACACCACCGCCTACAGTACCTCCAGCTGTAACACCACCACCTGCAGTACCTCCAGCTGAGGCACCATCTCCTACGGCACCTCCAGCTGTAACACCACCACCTGCAGTGGCTCCAGCTGAGGCACCACCTCCTACAATCCCTCCAGCTGTAACACCACCACCTGCAGTGGCTCCAGTTGAGGCACCGCCACCCACGGCACCTCCAGTTGTAGCACCACCTCCTACACCACGTCCAGCTGAGGCACCGCCACCTACGCCACCTCCAGTTGTAACACCGCCACCTGCAGTGGCTCCAGCTGAGGCACCACCTCC